CCTTGTGGAAAGGTCATTGAAGCTCCCAGTCCACTGGTTTCCCGCAAGCTATGCAAAACTGAATTATTCAGGAGGCCTTTTCTATGCAGTTAATAGGGTAGCACTGGACTAAATGATTCATAAAGTTAACTGGAAAAACGACTGGGGACTGTGGTCGGTATTACTGCGTATAGTTTGCAGTGGGTCAGATCCCGTTGTGTAATTTTGCATCATTGCATGTGTCACGTTAACACATTCTTCAGTTCTGGTTTTTAGGCTTCCCGTTGGTTCTACAACCCAAATCCTATTTCATTGCTCCTTGAATGCCCCATCTGTATCTGCTGTGTCTGAAGAAGTGAGCAGTAACTCACAAAAGCTCATACTCTGCCATGAATTTTGTTAGTATTTACAGTGCGACTAGACCAGGGGTGTCGGACTCATTTGTTATGAGGGCCGAATCTGACATAAATGAGACCTTGTTGGGCCAGGCCATATCGTAAAATGTAATGCCTGGTAGCGGAGATATAAACTTTATAAAGGACACAAACACAAAGGTGTTTTTTTTTACTTAAAATAAAAACATGCTTAAAACATTAGCACTCTTGCAAGATTAACAGGTTCTGATAACTGATAACTGAAACCTCTTGCCCTGAATTATTGCATCGAAATATCTGTGCTGTTGCAATCTTGAGTGTGCTGTTCAGGTGTGTATCTGTAAGCTGCAAACCTATGATGACGCGGCAGCAGCAGAACTAGAAGAAGAAGCAGAAGACAGCCAGTTCCACTGCGGGCCTGACAGGAGCCCCCCGGGGGCTGGACCGCATGCTTGATACCCCTGGATTAGTTGCTCTTTTCTGCTGCTACAGACAGATGAACATAGCAACCCATCTTGATCCATCTTGTTGACTGCTCCCTCTGTGTAATCCACCTCGAATCCCAAGGAGAAAGGTGCCTTATATAAATAACATGAAATAAATAAAATAAATGGATCTGGGGGAAAGGAGAGCGTAGGGAGCTCAGAAAGGCCTTTTTACACAGATGTTTTGTGAGCACACATGGATGGAAGACACATCTATTTCTTGCAGGGCGCATGAATTCTGCATCCAGCTCCCCCTCCACTTCCTCCCCCATTGGAGGCCTGGGGCTCAGTACGGTGCAACAGCTGGGCCTTTTCCAACTTGGCAGGCGCTTGAATAAGGACAACCAGGTTTCAGACAAGATAATCTGTCTTGCATGTCACCAGTTGGCAGCTACATCTCAAAGTCTCCACCCCCCCCTTAAAAACAAACAAACCCAAAACAAACAGGCAGGCTTTTGTTCAGAGAAAAGCACTACTTCCCTTCGAGAGACCAGTTTTCTTCACAGCAGTAAAGAGAAGGAAGCGCTGTTTTCAAAGCGATGACTATCTTCGGTCTTCGTATTAGGAGCTGGGACAGTTTTTAAGGCTGACGGCCATAACGACACAAAAAGAAGAACCAGGATCCAACAAGAAGAACCCACAGAAACCTGGAGGTGGGCCTCTCTCCCTTTACTTTGCCCGCCACCAGGTGGGACCTGGAGATCTCCTGGAATTACATCCAATCTCCAGACTGAAATTATCCGTCGTCTTGGACACAGTATTGTTTTTTCTGTTGAATGGTTTTAATATATTTTAATGTCCCCAGTCACACGGAGAATTTGCCGCGCAAAAGGCACGAATGTCGGGCAGATTTTTGGGGCACAATCACACCGCAACATCTGGGAAGCGTAGCGTACCCATGGCCAACCCATGGCATTCCGCCGAAGATGTGGAGTTAAAAAGTACCAAGGAAAGTGCACTAGTATATGCAAAACGCGCCGCACAGGCGGGTGTCTGAGCGCTAGTATCCCGTGGCATCCGGCGCCCGTCCACGTCGCAAACCGGATGTTTTTTGTAAGCGCATGCGCACAAACATGAAACTGAAAGCAGTGCTGCTCTGCGGAACTGCTCATGCACACAAATGCGAAACGCTTGTGTGATCGTGCCGTGCCGCTTCTTTGCCATGCTGCAGCATTGCCGTGTGATTGCCAGCAAACAACCGAAGCACGGAGACTCAGGGACCATGTGATCGGGCTACCGCGCTCCCCCTCCCCGCGTTATCTGGCCTATGTGACCGGGGCCAATGTTGTTTCAATTTTCTTATCTATTGGATTTGCCTTTGATGCAAGCCGCCCTGAGCCCTGTTTCAGGGAAGGGAGGCCTAGCAAATTGATAATAATAATAGGCTCTACTCCAAAACTCCAGGAATTTCCACACTCAGGGTAGGCAACCCCCTCTACACTACACTTAAGCAATCCGGATGAGCATTGACCCTGAAGCCTTTTCACAAGTTTTCAGCAGGGTCATCTTGAAGTCTGGTGGGCCAGTTCCTTTGCCTGGTGAGTTGGTGAGTCCAACACCCAACCACATCCAACTCCCAGTGATAGGCTATTTACATAATATTAATTCCTTCCCACCCCCAAAGTATTTTTTATTTCATATATATGACATACAAGACAAACATACATAGATACAAATTGAGGGAATTCAGTTTATATCATTATTTAATCTAGTTATTGACCTCATACTGTATCCAAAAACATTCATTTCTTTTATCCACCTTATAATTTTCATATATATCTTTTGCTTACAATTGAATATATAGTTCTTAACATTAATTCCTCATTGGTCACCTCCAGAGTCCTGGTGGGCTATTGTTCTAGCGCTCCAAGCTCCGCCAGTGCCTGGTCAACAGTCCCGAGAAGTTCCAGCCCCAATACAGTCACCCCAGCGCCAGGGCCACCAAGGCGGATGACAATGTTCAAAGCTACATGATAAAATCACATTTTCAAACGAAAAGTCCAGTAGCACCGATAAGAGTAACAAAATTTGTGGCGGGGTATGAGCTTTTGGGAGCCCCTGCTTAGAAGTGAGAAGTGACTCACGAAAGCTCCTCCCCTGCCACAATTTTGTTAGTCTTGAAGGTGCTCCTGGACTCCTGCTCTCTTCTGCTGCTACTGACAGACTGACATGGCCACCCATCTTGATATTAAAACCAGTAAAATCAACTCACATCCCCTCCCCCTCCATGCATCATTAAAATGAATAAGAACATAAAAGAAGCCTTGTTGGATCAGGCCAGTGGTCCATCCAGTCCAACACTCTGTGTCACACAGCGTTCAAAACCCAGGTGGTATCAGGAGGTCCTCCAGAACTCCAGAAGCCCTCCCACTGTTGCCCCCCAAGCACCAAGAATACAGAGCATCTTCTGGAGACGATGGCTGCCAATCAGAACAGACAAGACTGACCTTAAGAACATTAAGAGAAGCCATGTTGGATCAGGCCAATGGCCTATCCAGCCCAACACTTTGTGTCACACAGTGGCCAAAACACAGGTGCCATCAGGAGGCCCACCAGTGGGGCCACAATTCCCGAAGCCCTCCCACTGTTGGCCCCCAAGAATCAAGGATACAAAGCATCACTGCCCCAGACATAGGAATATAACAGAAGCCATGTTGGATCAGGCCAATGGCCCATCCTATCCAACACCACAGTGGCCAAAACCCAGGTGCCATCATGAGGTCCACCAGTGGGGCCACAACTCCAGAAGCCTTCCCGCTGTGGCCCCCCAGGCACCAAGAAGACAGAGCATCACTGCCCCGGTGATAAGTACCTAAGAGGAGCCCTGTTGGATCAGGCCAATGGCCCATCCAGTCCAACACTCTGTGTCCCACAGTGGCCAAAACCCAGGTGCCATCATGAGGTCCACCAGCGGGGCCAGAACTCCAGAAGCCCTCCCACTGTGGCCCCCCAGGCACCAAGAAGACTTTTTTACTGGAGTGTTGGACTGATTTTACTGGTTTTAATATCAAGATGGGTGGCCGTGTCAGTCTGTCTGTAGCAGCAGAAGAGAGCAGGAGTCCAGGAGCACCTTAAAAACTAACAAAATTTGTGGCAGGGGAGGAGCTTGCGTGAGTCACTGCTCCAGACATAAGAAAATGAGAAGCCTTGTTGGATCAGGCCAATGGCCATCCAGTCCAATACTCTATGGCACACAGTGGCCAAAACCCAGGTGCCATCATGAGGTCCACCAGCGGGGCCAGAACTGCAGAATCCCTCCCACTGTTGTCCCCCCCAAGCACCAAAAACACAGAGCATCACTGCCCCAGATTTGTTGCACCAGTGGGATATCAGCCTGCCCTGCCAAAATCACAAGAGCCCTGGCCAGAGCAACAACAACAACAACAATCTGTATCATTTTTTAAAAATAAGTTTTATTACTGAATATTTACATGTGAACAAAAGGCAATAAAAAGGTAATAAAAGTTATCTTACTATACACTATGGGTAAAGTACCACTTCAAATACAGGCTTTGGAGGAATAATATGATTCTCCAATAAACAAAACATAACAGATATCCACATATCCCAGAGTTGGGTTGTGCTCTTAGTTGGGGTTGTTGTTTTTTTTGCCATTATTATATGTTCCCAGATTTTTTTGTGCCAGGTTTGTATCGATGGTTTCAATCCACTGCTCCAAACTCATGCAATTGTTAATTTAGCAATTAACAATTAACAACAATTAACAACGTGGCAATTCATTTTCTTTTTTTCATTTCCAAATTGGGAATCCGGCCAACTATTTCGTAATACCGACTCTGGAGTACCTAAAACAACAACCTGTATCTCTGAAGAAGCAGAACAAAGTCGGAGTCCAGTCAGTGGCACCTCTGAGACCAGCAAAGTTTTATTCAAAGCGTCAGCTTCCCTGTGCAAAACCACACTGAAGAAGTGCGCCTGCACACGAAAGCTTACCCCCCCCCCATCAAACTTTGGTGGGCCTTACAGGTGCCAGTGGGACTCCCAACTTTGCTCAACCGCAACCCGTGTTTGCAGAAACTTCGCGAGGACACCCCACCCGCCGTCCCATTCTGCCCCCACCCCCGCCTCCTTTGGGCGGACCTTAAAGGCGTTTCCCGCCCCTCCCCCCCCCCCCGTTCCTATTAGAGAATCGCCGCCGCGCAGAGGGCGTCACGTGAGCGCCAGTCTTGTGACTGGCCTGGGCGCAAAGAGGCTGGAGCACATTGCCTTCTGCCTTGCGGGGCGTGTGCGGGGCGGAGGGGTCTTTTCGCCCTCTTTGCATGCCCCAAATCTCTCTTTTTTTAAAAGGGGGGCTCCTCTCTAGCTCCGGAGCCGCTCCCCGGGTGCCTCCAGCCCTCCCTCCAGTTGCCAGACCCGGTTGCAAAAAGTTGGCTCTGTAGCCGGGGGGGCTTGCCTGTTCTCTGTTTGGGGGGCGGAGGGGAGGGGGGCCCGGCCGGAGGATGGACAATAAGCCCCTGCTGCAAGACCGACCCCCCGCCTACAGCCCGGCCGCCCAGGGAGGCGGCTACGAGTATGGGCAGGGCGGCTACGGGGCCATTCCCGCCGCTCAGCCGGGCTTCCAGCCGCCGCCGCCGCCGCCCTACGCCTATCCCACGGGTTCTGCCGCAGGTAAGCCTCGGGGGAGTGGGCGGGAGAACTTAACGGGCCGGGAGGCAGCCGGCGTGGCTCTCCGCTTCTCTGTTTTGTATTCACAGCAGCCCGGTGAGGTAGGTGAAAAGTCCAACGGGGGCTGGCTTGCTGGGCAGTGTTCCCTCCGCCTCACACGTTTTTGTCTTAGCTCAGGAAGGATGGGGCTCCAGAGCACACTAATTGATGCAGCAGCCAAATCCCTCGCTCGCGGCTTTCATGCCAGTAGCCCACAAAGTAGAATTTTTGCTCACAAGACTCCACAG